AAAGTTCCATATTTCCAAACGTGTTAAAAACATTATAATATTTGTTATTTCGACTAGGAATTATTCATTTAAATATTAAAAAAATTTTTTGGTTACATGAAAACCACTAAAACGCATCGTTCAAAATTATAATACTACAACAATTCCAATACGGCTATATTAGGCACTATCCAAGTTAAATTGTCATTGATAAATTCGATCACTTGTGAATAACGAGTTATCCTGATTGTTATTATTTATAAATTATTACTGTATTAAATAGCCTTATATACCTTTTAGTTTTTACCTATTTAAAAATGTATAATCATCGATTATATGACGATATGGTATTTTGATCCAGTATAGGTACACATAATTTAATAGTATGAAATAAGTATATTATAGGGAAAAGGACTAAGGCATTGGTAATGTTTAGATATAAATATATAATATATTTAAAATCTATACCTAATGGCTAATAATAATCAATAACATTTTAAAATACTTAAAGAAAATATAAACTCAGGATTCATGTTTCAGGTTAGTCTTTTTGGGATACGAATTCGAAAAAACATATGATAACCAAAAATTATCYACAACTATGTTGTTATCATTTTCATTTTAGTGACATTTTATATTAGGTAGGTACAAATCGTATCTAATTTAATATGTGATCATATAACATAACGACATGTTATGATCTTATTTAAAGGCAGCATACTCGGTACACATTATCTGAGTACATTTTTTAAATGATCCTTAAGTTTCAATTTTTTTTTTTCAATGTCAGCAAGTCGYTTTATTTAGAAACTAGTTGGGTGACATTCTATACGTCGTCTTTGAGACTTCGCTATAATATTATACGTAAGTGGTTAAGGTCGTCGTGGGCCAAATAAATGCATAGAAACAGTTAAGAGGTAAATAATATATTAATACATAGTTTCAGTTAAAAGGTGGCCTAGAGAGAGACATAACATCGGACCCACGTGTCCCATTGAATTCATCACACAAGTTTTAAGCATAACAGACTCATTTTCGTTGTCCCTTGTATTTTTTAAAGTGAAAAATATTACCTATATTTTATCAAGGATAAACTGAATAAAAAAATGGGAAAGTGAGTACTACTCTACTTTACATTCGGTGTGGGTAACTGCGATTGTATGTATTAAATTTGAATTCAATAATCACATAAAGTCATTGTATAGGTACGAAAAACGATTACGTTATTATATAGAATAGTCAGCCTATTATATTACTTGGTAATATAAATAAAATTGATGTTAAAGAAAATTACTTTACTATTAGATATTATAATAGTAATTAAGTTGATTAAATTATTTTTTCCCCGAAAACATGCATTTGAAAATATAATAAATATTGTAGGTTAATATATGTATATAAAATATACAGATATTAAAAATATTTTCAAAATTTAAACTTTAAAATTTAAACATTCAATTTTCGTTTTTTTTTAATAACACTAATAACAACTTAATATAAATTAAAATTTTCAACATTATATGACTACAAAAATTATCAATCGAATTGATAAAAAAAAATTTAAAAGAATCAAAAATTTCTCATGGTTATTAACAGCTCAAAAAGAGTCACAATATTAATTTTTTTTAAATGTAATATTATATGTAAAAAATCATCACAGGTACATAAATATTTCGTATAAATGTTAAGTACTAAAACTATGGGAATTAGTTTTTGAGTTATTCCTATGGATAGTATTGTTTGAATCTAAAAAACACCTTAGTGAAGCAAAGAAGGAAAAACGTAAAWAATTTTATCTTACAGGCTACTGGGATAAGCATACAAGAACTGTATGCTGTAGCTGTATTATTACTTCTCTTTATGTGGCCCCACAAATTGTTATCCACCCTGATCCCTTAGAATTTAGAAGTCTTAATTCCGGGCTTAATAATATAGAATATATCTATAGATACGTTGAAGCACAATATAGTTATATGTGGGTATTACTATACATAATGATTTAATATTTATAGTATTGTCATTATTATTATAAAAGCTATATAGTTCTGCAGACATCRACTTACCTCTAAGAATTTTAACATTTTACCAGCAATTCCAATGGGTATTTTWACGATGTGACGCCAGTTCAACCCCTTGGTATCTATAACGATAAYCATTCCGTCACACGTACCGTACTTTAAAAGCGTATAGTTCATCCACATAGCTAGGTATTTGAAAAGTGGCAAGTATTCAAACATTTCGTGATTGGTATCTTGAAACATCATAAATAGAACTCGATCATTTTTGTCCGTGTTAACAGTAGGCATTTGCCCAATGCTCCTGTACAAATTAATAAGATAAAACTAAATGCATTTATGTAAATCATACTAACTCATCACATAAAAAATATTTAGCCACAAAAACACCGGATATTTCTTATCAATAAATTTACAATTACACCATACATATAATTATGATCCTATAATACAGTGGTCCCCACTACGCGGCCCRCAGGCCTCATACAGCCTTTAACAAATTTAATGCGGCCCGCACTCAAATTAAATTGTACATTCTAGATTCTACAATCCTAAATCCAAAAAAAACGTTTGTGTCATTCATGAACTGTAATCCTACAATACCCTTTCCTAACAAAACATCCTGTCTCATTTTATTATTATAATTATTCTTCACTAAATTCAGTGAACTGCAATTGTACATTTTTATATTGATAATTAGGTAGGTATTATCATTAAAAATATGAAATAAATCAAGTACTATAATTGAATAGTTTTTTTTCAATCAAGCCAACCAAGACCATATCCCTTCATCTATGCTTAGTGTAAAAATATTTTATAAAGATTGTACAGATTAAAATAAGTATGACAAAAAAAAATGTAAGCGGCCCTCAAATTATTTTCAAAAATTATACCTTCATTATATTATACGAGGAGATTTTGTTTACATATACAACATTTACTTCCTCAATTCAAGTTGTTATGATATTTWAAAAARATTTTATCATACAATTCTTAAATTATTTATAATATAATGTAATACTATACTAAATGTTTTAAGAACCCCGAGATTATTTTTATATAATATTATCATGTCATCAATCATCATAAACATGATTTGCATTTATTGTCAGTATAGAAATTTAGTGCTATAACTAAATATTAAAAATTAAACAAATATGTTCAAAATAGTACAAAAACTAGATGGATATATATTTTTAAATTAAATATCCGTCTATGCAGATTATTTAATAATGGCAACATATATATTTCTACTCGCTTACATAGGTGCCTACTCTGTAACTGATTAATGGTTTAGTGGTTAGCACCGAGGTTGTCAACTCAATACATATAGTAATATTACTTATGCATTATTATAAAATTCTAAAGGACATTAAACAAACAAACTCAGTAAAATTATTCCATAAAAATCGAATTCTAAAACCAATAATAATATTATGTCGAGTACAAAGATAAATAGATAATCTAAGTAATTTAAAATGATTAACAAATACGACAAATCATTTTTTTCAATCTCTACCTAAAGATTAAGTAAAAGTTCTTAAATTAATTATTAAGCAGCATAAATACAGTATACACATCAACATGACTGAAACCAAATTTTTCAAACAAATGTA